CAGATATAGAGGGAGGGAGAGAGAGGAAGAGAGACAGAGAGAAACATCGAAGTGAAAGGGACAGATCAAGTGGCTGCCTCAGCCAGGGCCAGGGATGAATCTCAATCAAGGTTTGTGCCCTTGACAGGAATCGAACCCATGACTCATTGGTCTGCAGGCCGACGCTCTAACTGTTGAGCCAAACTGGCCAGGGCTTAATTTATTTTTTTAAAGAAACCTTGCCACTAACCCTTTACCTCTCTCTGCTGTCTGAAGGTTATAAAAAAGCTAATCCCTGAGTTCTCCCTCCTCTCCGCCTCTCCTCACATTTCTAGTCACTAGTATAAAGGGAAATCAAACTATAACAGGGTCTACCTCACTTCCTACTTTATTTTATTAAAAAAATTTTTTTTTCTTTATTGATTTCAGAGAGAGAGGAAGGGAGAGGGAGAGAGAGATAGAAACATCAACAGGAGAGAACATCGACCAGCCGTCGATATGCCCCCCACTAGGGATTGGGCCCACAACCTGGGCACATGCCCTGACCAAGAATTGAACCGGTAACTTCTTGGTGCATGTGTTGAAGCTCAACCACTGAGCCATACTGCCCGGGCTTCACTTCCTACTTTAACAACAACTAAAACAAATTAAATAACTTGTTTCTGTTCTCCTTACTAAATATTTATTCCCCTTCTTGATATTATCTCAATTCTTCAGGGTCCAACTGTGTCCTCCTACTTATTTTCTCAAGCCTGGCCTCTGGCTTTTACTAGGCTCAGTAGTATCTGAATCAACAATAGGTAGAGGAGGGCAGGGAAAATGAAGCACAAACCAGTCAGCTCTCCTGCTTGTTATAAGGTCTTTTGGGTGAAGAGGTGGAAACAACCAGCTACCAGAGGTGGCAGATTATGGGAAGACCTCTAGACCCCTGATTCAAGTTGAAGTCAACAGATGTGAGATCTAATCCTGGCTTCACCACCTTACTAGACACTAACATTGGACAAGTCATATAACCTCTCTGAGTCTTATCTGTAAAGTGGAGTTAAAAATATCTGTGAAAATGCTTTGAAAATGGTTAAAATGCTACTTAAAAATAAAACAGCCCTGGCCAGTTTGGCTCAGCAGTTAGAGCATCGGCCTGTGGTCCAGAGAGACCCGGGTTCGGTTCCCGCTAAGGGCACGTACTTTGGTTGCAGTTTGTCCCCGGCCCTGGTTGGTCGTGAGGGTGGCAGCCACTCGATGTGTCCCTTCACTCTCTCTCTCTCTCTTCCTCTCTCTCCCTCCCACTCTATCTGTACAAAAAATGGAAAAATATCCTCAGGTGAGGATAAAAAAAATAATAATAATAAAAAAATAATAATAAATAAAACAAAAACATTTCATATGCCTGTACAATTTCTTCCCCCCAAAGCAAAGATAGGTGCTAGCAGGTGCTTCTTTTCATCACTAGAGTCAAAACGAGTATGACAAAATTATCCACTTCACAATTCTGAGCTATAGACAAAATCACAGGCATACTAAAATTAAATGGGGAAAGTACCAACAAATGACAAGAGAAAAGTTAACATAAGCCTCACTTAGAGCTATTTTGAGAATACTTCCTCATAGTCATCTCAGGACAAATTTCTCCATATTCGGTTAGGTCTAGATTTCCTTTAGCTCCCTGAAGCCTGGAAGAGTACAGTGACGTCTTTGCTAAGGGTATATCTATGAGGAGAATGGAGAGAAAGATAAACTGAAATAATACACATATCTAGGCTTCTCCTTAAAGAGACAGGGCAAGCCATAGATGTGATGCCAAAACACCTTTAGAGAGAACGTAGTGGAAAGGTCTTAGGTTTGGAGTAGGAGAGATGTAAATTTTAGTCTCAGCTCTGCCACTTACTGACTGGGCAAACCACTTTTTCAGTCAGATTATCTTTTTTTTCCAATCCTCACTCGAGGATATTTTACCATTTGTCTTCAGATAGAGTGGGGGGGGAGAGAGACAGAGAGAGAGAGAAAAACAGACGTGAGGGAGACACACTGACTGGTTGTCTCCCACAAGACCCCGACCGGGGCTAGGGACTGAGCCACAACTGAGGTACATGCCCTTGACCGGAATCAAACCTGGGACTCTGGTCCTCAGGTGGACGCTCTAACCGCTGAGCCAGGGCTCAGTCAGATTTTCATCTGCTAAGCAAGAAATAATACTATCTACTTCAGAGGGATACTGTGATGATTGAAAGAAAGAAGGCATGTAAAGTACCTGGCACATAAAAGGGGGGTGCTTAATAAATAACAGCAGGATAAGTAAAAAAAAAAAACAACTCCCCCCAAACAAAAAAGACATCTATCTACTATTCAAACCTGAAGGCTTAATCCTCTAATAGCTGTGGTTCTCATCTGGGGAGAACTTTGTCCTTCAGGAGACATTTGACAATGTCTGGAGACTTTTTTGACTGTAATGACTCGGGGGGAGCTCCTGGCATCCAGTGGGTCGAGGCCAAGGATACTGTTCAACACCCTACAATGCACACAACAGTCTTTTACAATAAATAATTATCTAGCCCAAAACATTAATAGTGGTAAGACTCTACAACAAGCATTCTTAGGTACTCAATCAGAGTAAGCTACTTCACCTCTCTTAGCCTTAGTTTCCTCACCAGCAATATGGGAATAATTGATCTGGGTATGCAACATCACCAAGCTATTGGCAGGATCAAATGAAATAATGGATGAGAGGCATTATCATCATTATACCTTTCACAATGTATACAAAAACACCCACTTGCTGGGCAAAGACAGAAGCACTAATATATGAGGTAGGGTTGGGGGGTGAAATTCTTTGTTTGGGAATGTCACCATCCTAAGAGGGCCTCTTCCCAATCTATTTCTTCTATTTTTTTTTTTTTTATCCTCACCCGAAAACATTTTTGCATTTATCTTCAGATAGAGCAGGAGGGAGAGAGGAAGAGAGAGAGAGAAACATAGATGTGAGAGAGACACACCGACTGGTTGCCACCCACACGACCCCAATTGGGGCCTGGGACAAACTGCAACTGAGGTACGTGTCCTTAGCGGACCCAGGTCCCTCTGGTCCCAGGCCGACACTCTAACCGCTGAGCCAAACTGACCAGGGCCCAGTCTATATCTATAAAGCTTCACTGGAGCAGAGGAGCTCTTATGCACAGTGATTGAATAGGAGTACTTCTCAGGGAGAGAGATGGATTATGGGAAGTGGGTAGAAACAGCACAGGCATATCAAAGAGGAGCTAACAGATGTTAGGAAGTAAGGCACTGATTACTTGAATTCTTAGACTGCTTGGGCTGCCTGAGTAATTTAAACAATAGAAATTTATTTTCTCACACTTCTGGAGGCTGAAAAAACAAAATCAAGATTCCAGCATGAGTTAGTTTCTGGTAAGACGTTTTTTCCTGGCTTGCAAATGGCCACCATCTTGCTGTGTCCACATATAACAGTCATCTCTCTCTCTCTCTTCCTCTTCTCTCTCTTTTTTTTTATCCTCACCTGAGGACATTTTTCCATTTTTTGTTCAGATAGAGTGGGAGGGGGAGAGAGAGAGAGAGAGAAAGAGAGAAACATCGACGTGAAAGGGAACACATCGAGTAGTTGTCACCCACACGACCCAACCAGGGCCAGGGACAAACTGCAACCAAGGTATGTGCCCTTAGCGGGAACCGAACCCAGGTCTCTCCAGACCGCAGGCCAACGCTCTAACTGCTGAGCCAAACCGGCCAGGGCCTGATATATCATTTTTGGGACAGCCTTTCACATGCACCAAAAGAGAGAACTTAAAGGAGTTTTTTAAAACATGAGGGGGAAGAATCAAAAGAAACCAAAGGGGTGTAAACAACGTGTGTACCTTGCCAAGGGAAAGAGCAAAAAATCTGATGAAAAATAAAGGAAGGGGTGAGAGTGGGGATGGAGAGATGATGTTACAGGGAAGAAAATGGGGCTGATAGGATTCAACAGCAAATTAATAAAACTTAGTAAGTCAACAGCCACTGAAGTTGTAGGTGAAGGGCCTTCCTTTGGGTAAAAATGGAAACAGGCAACAGTATCTTTTGGTGTATCCCTCATCACAACCTCACCCATTTTACCCTCACTCTTCATCAATACATCCTCAAGGAAAAATGCCAGGCAGTCATTCACACCAAGATACAAGAGTATTTTAATAGGAGACAATGACAATAAACCAAAAGAAGAGTATTGAAAAAAAGGAATTTCAGGCACATTTACTGAATGAAGAGGGACTGGAGAGACAATAAGCCTTTCTTTGCTTTTTGGTAATTTATATCACACTGCTTGTTACTTTGTGTAGTTCTCTAACAGTAAAATAAGGTATATTACCGACATCCAGGCATCCCTGATGACAACATGCTGACAGAAGGGTCCCATCACATACTTGACAAACTGTAGGGACAGTGTTGCAGCCTGTGCAGCTCACCAGCCATGGATATTAAATTTTCCTTATAGAAACTGAAACTCAAGACACTTGGATCCTAAGTCAGACCCCACTGTCATACTTTCTACTTACCTTTGCCTTATTATTTTTTCCCTTAGTATCTCTAGCTGTAAGAGAGAAAAATCTCAAGGATAACTTTATTGAATTTGGCCCGTGGAAACAAAGTAGGAGGAAAGAAAAGAGAGGAAAGGCATCAAAAAGACAGTTAAAAAATATATTTTAAGCCTGGATGGTGGGGCTCAGTCATCCCATGGACTGAGAGGTCCCAGTTTGATTCTCAGTCAGGGCACATGCCTGGGTTGTGGGCTCGATCTCCAGTGGGGGATGTGCAGGAGGCAGCTGATCGATATTTCTCTCTCACATTGATGTATGTTTCTATCTCTCTCTCCCTAAAAAAATCAATAAAAACATATTAAATATATATATATATATATTTAAGTATTCCCTCCATAGAAAGTCAAGCTAAATGTTTTGAGTATGAGACATTTTAGTGAAAAGAGTAGTCTCTACATTTTAGTGAAAACAGTAGTCTTTACCTTATCATTTAGAAGTGGCTTGATCTCTGTGAGTTGAACATCCTGAAGTTCATCCATGAGGAAGATTAAAGTAGAGGATTCTCAAAAATAAATCAGTAACTCTGAAACAAAATAGAAGGAAGTGAAGAAAAAGGCTTAAATTAGGAGTTGGGCCCTGGTTGGGTAGCTCCGTTGGTTAGAGCGTTGTCGATACGCCAAGGCTGCAGGTTCAATTCCCCATCAGGGCAAATATAAGAATCAACCAATGAATGCATAAATAAGTGGAACAACAAATCAATGTTTCTCTCTTCTTTCCTCTCTATAATCAATTTTTAAAAAATTTAAACCAAGAGTTAGAAATATAATAGTCCCATTACATCTATTCATTCAAATATTAGAGGTTATTATGTGTCATACATTGCTCAGGGTGTTGAAGACACAGGAAACTAGATAGGTATGGCAGACAGACTCAAAGTGGCTTCCATGATCTCTGCCTCCAGGTATTCATATCCTTGAATAATCTTCCCCCCTCCCCACTAAGTGTGGGCAAGATCCATGACTTTTTTATAATTTCTCAAAGGACCCAGAGGATGCCAATCAGAAACACTCCTCAAACTATGGACCCCCACATACCAACCATAAGCATCCCAAACATATGTACCACTTACAGAGCACAAGCTTGATGATAATTTAACTTCCCTGTAGAACATGGTTCTTTTCTCAGGTCCCAGGCATCCTATAAACTTGGCTAAGCTACTGAATGCCCAGAAACTGAATTTCTTTTTTTTAATCCTCACCTGAGGATATTTTTCCATTTATCTTCAGTGGGAGTGAAGGGGAGAGAAAGAGAGAGAGAGCGAGCAAGCAAGCGACATTGATGTGAGAGAGACACATAGACTGGCTGCCTCCTGCAGGACCCCAACAAGGGTCGGGGACGAACCACAACCGAGGTATGTGCCCTTGACCGAAATTGAACCCATGACTCATTGGTCTGTGGGCCGACACTAACCGCTGAGCCAAACTGGGCAGGGCCAGAAACTGAATTTTTTAGTTTGTTTTTTTTACCAGTTATATTTCTTTTTTTTTAATCCTCACCCGAGGATATTTTTTCTCCATTTATCTTCAGATAGAGTGGGAAGGAAGGAGGGAGAGGGAGAGAGGAGAGGGAGGGAGAGGGGGAGAGAGGGAAGGAGGGAGAGGGAAGGAGGGGGGAGGGGGGAGGGGAGAGGGAGAGGGAGAGGGAGAGGGAGAGGGAGGGAGGGAGAGAGAGAGAGAGAGAGAGAGAGAGAGAGAGAGAGAGAGAGAGATTGGTTGTCTCCCACACAACTCCAACCAGGGCCAGGGACTGAACCGCAACCAAGGTATGTGCACTTGACCGGAATCAAACCTGCAACTCTTTTGGTCTGCAGACTGATGCTCTAACCGCTGAGCCAAACCAGCCAGGGCTTTACCCATTATATTTCAAAAGGTGATGAGGTGGCTTGAATTTTTTATCACTTATTTCAGCCAACATCTACAATTCTCTCTTTAACAGTCATGCTTTGACCCAGTTAGCTCTAAAAATATTGGCCTAACTGGTATCTACTTGTTGTGTGTTTATTTTTTTTATCCTCACCCGAGGACATTTTTTGATATTTTGTTCAGATAGAGTGAGAGGGAGAGAAAGAGAGAGAAACATCGACGTGAAAGGGAACACATCGAGTAGTTGCCACCCACATGACCCAACCAGGGCCAGGGACAAACTGCAACCGAGGTATGTGCCCTTAGCAGGAACCGAACCCAGGTCTCTCCAGACCGCAGGTCGACGCTCTTAACCACTGAGCCAAACTGGCCAGGGCTGTTGTGTTTATTAATCACATTATAAACTGTGGCTACTTTTCATTTGGACTTCACTGTTTATCAGTAATTTAAAATGGTAATTTTAGCCCAGCCGGGGTGGCTCAGTGGATGAGCATCGACCCATGCACCAAGAGGTCGCTGGTTTGATTCCCGGTCAAGGTACATGCCCAGGCTGTGGGCCAAATTCCCAGTGGGGGGCATGCTGGAGGTGGCCAATCGATGTTCTCTCTCGTCAATGTTTCTATCTCTCTCCCCCTCTCCCTTCCTTTCTCTCTAAAAATCAATAAAGAAAAAAAGTTTTTTTGAATAAAATGGTAACTTTAAAATCTTTTTCCTAGTATAGAAGCAATACCATATGTGCTCACTTTAGAAAATGTGGAAAGCACAGAATAATGAAAAGATATTTTACTTAGTCCTTCCATCTAAAGACAATTACTGCTAAGATTTTAGTCTATTTCCATTTGTATTTTTTCCATGTAAAATGGTGACTTCCTAAAAATGTTTTTCCAGCCCACCTGCTTTATTCCTTACTCTAACTCACTCACTTGGAAGCAGGGTACTTCAAGATGTTGATTACTCAAATATGACTCCACATAGGGCCTGTTCAAGAGCCTCAGGGACAGAGGAAAGCCCTAGCTGCCCTCAGGTCCAAAGTGACTGGCATTCACCTAGTGCTCCTATGCATTTTTTAAAGATTAAAAAAAAAAGTGATGATGTAATGTTTGGGCCAGGACAAACACTTAAATAAAGGCACAAATTAAATGAAAAGGCTGCCCCTGTCAGCTGGGCCCAATGCAGACTTAATGCAGGACAGGAAGCTTCTCCAGTGTGACTTAGGAATTGGCAACAAGACAATAGATGTTCACCTTCCACATTATAGGGGACCTAATGCATTCTTCTGGAGACTCAATTTTTGCTTAGTTCTCATTATCCTGAATCCTTGCCAATTACTAGTTTTGCAACACCTATAAGAAAACTAAGACCACATGGTAGAAAATTCCATCTCCAGATCTCTCAGCTACATGGACCAGCTTCCCTCTGGGGATCTAAGGCCTGCAGTTCCCTCTGCACAAATGATATGGCTGCCAGATCCATCCTGGTACTAAGGGCTATTAATATTTTTTTAAAGCTAGTAGGGATTTTACAAACTGTAGTAGGTAACAAAATGTTTACGCTCTTTCCCTGCTTTATGAGGTAAGAGGGAGGACTGAAAAGTAAAAACCAGCCACCCTCGATCTGAAGAAGTAAGCCTGGTACCAAATGGCTAGAACGGTATAAATCCTACACTCTGCCAGGAATTATAACCTAAACACCTCATCTTTAATCCTCATAACAGTCTTCTCAGGTATATATCTTCATTTCTTACTTTAAAGATGAAAAACTTAAGCTTAGAGAGAAATTAAGTGACTTTTCCAATATCCCACATCTAAGTAAGTAATAGGGCAAGGATTAAAAAGCCTTTGCTTTCCAGACTATACCATAATGTCAACGCCAGGCTCCATCTACTGGCTGTAGAACCCTGGGCAAATTTCTTCTCCTCTAACCACAGGACACCTCCTCGAAGTAAAAGTAATAGAAGCCCAGAGCAATCCTGTACCTCTGACTCAGATGCCTTAGAATGAAGTTTGAGTCATCACACCAGGACAAGAAACCTCAATACCTCAATTGTTAGCTGAAGACTAGGAGAACATGAGTAGGAAAAAGAGAAACAAAATTCCAGCTATTACTTGGTAACCAGTTTCAGAAACAAGAGTTATTTCTTGCTTTTGTTAGAATAGTGAGCCTCAAACAAACACCTGGATATCTTGTTCAGGATCTTAGACATAATCAGTTTTGAGTAATGACAGTCCAATAGGTGACCTCATCATGAGTGGAGTTGAGAGATGAAGGAAAGGCTTAATTATTAGCACCAATCCCTAATAGAGATGAGGAGGAAGGGATAGAGAAAGAGTCTATTAATCTAATTTTACTTTGCCTTCTTCTAAAAAAGATTTCAAAAAAATTCAACAGACCAGACTAATTAGAAAGGGAATATATTGGAGAAAGATAGAAGTTTAGTAGGTTAGTGAAGAAATCTAGCTATAAGGTGACAAGAGCCTTACCCTGCTATTAGAATCACAGATATAAAGGGAGAGCTGGAGTATAAAACGGGCGAAAATAGTGTGAGATCAGAGAAGTCAGATTTTGCCAAGGTTTTACAGAGGTTCAGAACAAGCCACCCAAGATGTGCCTAAGTGGTATGCGGATTACTTCAAGCTAAAGGTAACCGAGACCCTGCTGGCTCAAAAGAAACTTCTGTCCAGTCCCCCGCCCCATTCCCCCACTATCTAGAAGAATTTAGGAGCCTGGCCCATATTAAGAGTTATCACCAGAAATTACTTTTTACCTATCTATATGGCAGGACAAACTAATAACTGCTGAACATGTGCTCTCTCTGCAATTACTTTCTGAAACCCCAAAGTGCATTAACTCATCCCTAGCTCAGAATATCTCAATTTCCCTTTCTGTCTCTGATCCTCTTGGGTATGTAGGGTTCCCATACATAGGTATGTAATTACATTTGGTTATTTTTTCTTGTTAATCTATCTCATGTTTATTTGATTATTATTAGACTTGCTGAATAATCTCTGAGACTAAAGTTTCTTCCTCCTACCCAGTTTCTAGTAGAGGGATAAAAAAATGATGGTGCAATGAACGGAAATGGGGGCACTGCAAAGCAATAACAGAGAAAGTGGTGAAATATATCAATTTTGAGTCACAGTTGAAAATTGGGCATCCAAGGGACCAGAGCACAGGGTAGAGCGAGATTTAGTGAGGAAAATCTGTAGGTACTAAAGGGGAACAGAGTTTGCCACCCCAAAATATGCCTCTTTGGGATAGCGATTATTTCAGGCTGGTTAATTTTAAGAAACAGCAGACAAGGAAAAAGCTCTGAAAAGCAAGTAGAAGGATATTATAAAAGGAAATTTACATTTGTAAGGGAAACCTCCACCTGTATGGGTGTTTCCCTCACTACACCAGGCCTGCATTCACTCTTTTTTTTTTTTTTTTTTTATCCTCGCCCAAGGACATTTTTCCGTTTTTTGTACAGATGGAGTGGGAGGGAGAGAGAGGAAGAGAGAGAGAGGGAAACATCGATGTGAAAGGGACACATCGAGTGGCTGCCACCCGCACGACCAACCAGGGCCGGGGACAAACTGCAACCGAGGTACATGCCCCTAGCGGGAACCGAACCCGGGTCTCTCCGGACCGCAGGCGGACGCTCTAACCGCTGAGCCAAACC